GCCTATACATTATATTAATCGATTATAACATGTTATTTAATGTTTTTACACGTATTTAATAATAGGCCTATCGGGTAATCACGTATTTAATTCTTAATTTTTTAATGTTTTTAGGGCGGAGAGGTGGATTTGACTCTGGCCGGGGCCCCATAATTTTTTGAAAACTAAAAGAAAATGCAGGGGCGGATCTAGAATTTTTCAAGAGGGGAGGAAGTGGGTGTGGGGGGCACAACATACTCAAAATAGGTGTAGTGGTAATAGTAATAATAGGTGGATAATTATTATTATTAATTATTAATAATAATTATTGGGAAGATAAAAGCCTATAGAGACATGATCGATTTGACCATTAAGAGCGATGGTCATTTGATTGAGATTGGGCATCATAGTATCCAAATCATTTTGGTTACTTAATTAAGTCGTAGACCTACAATTATTTATAGGGGAAAGTTTTCGTCCGCCCCTGAATTGTTATAGTATAAAATAGTCCATTTTTTAAATGTTAGAACGGTACCGTACTTTATATAATATAACAAGTGAAAAGACTGTATAGGGGCCATGCGACAAGCGCACCTGGCCATAGGGAGTGGAGTGGGGTCGAGATTTTAGAAATGCTTGAGACCATTACACGGCTACGTGGAATTATCAAAAAATTGGATTTTTTGGAGTAGGCCTATACATACATACCGTGTTCCCCTCTTGCTAGACTTTATTTTCTTCTCTTTATTTTCTGGGGAGGGGGTGTATCCACCGTGTTTCCTTGATCCACCCGTGGAAAATAAATTCTGTGTTGGGATTTAGAGGGTTCACCCCAAATATCAACAAAGATGACTTCTATTCTCAATTTCATTTGTTTGTATTCTGTGTATCCGTTTTTGTGTTGTTGTTATTGTTGTGGAGATGATATCAAATAAATCAAATCAAATAAAAAATGACTGATTTAATGATTATTTAGGCCTATATTGGAAAAGCTTCATTGGAACAGATCAATAAATTCATGATTAGGCCCTAAGCATCCGACCTACAGTATGCACGTTAAGGAAATTCATTTAGTAGGCGAAGGTGAAGTGCGAGGGCTCGATGATCAGTTGAGGGGCTCTAATTCGCAAAATAAAGTGATTTAGGTGATTTTTAACTACTACTACTACCGTGATTTGAAACCAGTGTCAGTATAATCTTATCTTATGTATAAAAAATGTTGTGTTTAAAATGAAACCAGTGAAATATATAATTTTTTAAGCAGCAGCGGTGCCAGCGTCTGAAATTTGGGTGGGGGCGGCAAGTAAGGTGTTAGGTAAAATTTTAGGGGGAGGGGTGCAATATTCTGGGTGGCCCAAAGTGGGTGTGGTCGGGCGTCAATGAAAATGTCTTGAAAAGTGGTCCAGAGGGCGAAGCCCTTGAACAATATGACAATTTAGGGTTTCAGCTTATTTAATCGATTTTATAGATAGATAGTCTACTAATATGTAGAAAATACATAGGCCTATCATTTTTTCCTCCCCGATGAATTGTGTTTTTCTTCTTTCTTGTGGGACTGGGGGAGGGGAGCAAGAAAATGATCTGCGGGGAAATTCCCCTCTCCCCCAACCCCACTAGCGCCGCCACTGATTTTAAGAGAAATACTCTGGTTTGTTGTTAATTTAAGTAACAAATAAATGGAACACAAATAATTTCGAATATTTCTTTCTTGCATTGAATATATTTCACCTATTGCAGAACCCACCGACAAATCGTTGTCCCCTGGTTTTGCTACTCCACCTGTGAAATTCACGCTCTAGTATACGAACGAAAAACCACCAATGAAGGTTTTCCATGCTGATCTGATACGAGAAGGATCACTCACAAATCCCCGTGGTTTCAATTAGTGGTGTACTGCTACAAAATATAACGTGACAAAGATGATTTTCAATTTTCTGGTCTGTCCACAGATCCTTAAGAAAATCCCAATTCTAAAATATTTTCTAGAGAAAAGTTATTTTTGCCTTTTACTGTCAATTCGATTACACTCAATATGTTTGATTAAATATATATGTTTTAGCAACATCAACATACTAAACTAAAATAAAATAATATTGTTCCAAAATCTTTGTCATAATCATAACCCAACCAATCAATTAATTGTTTATTAAATGCACTACTTAGCCGGTAATAGGCCTACATTCTTATTTTACACTGCATTTTCGCAATGATCAATATGGGCGCACACTATACTTAACATTTAATAAGGATAGAAAAACTATAGCCAGTAAAAATATCACTTAAAAACAGAATATTAAATATTCAGTCGTCGGCAACCTCTTTTCGTGAAAATGTCCACTTGTGTGCATGTGCGAGTGAGGACGTAGATATTAACGTAAAGCCAAACTTGGTTATTTCTCGGAACAACCTCACTCTACTTATATTCGGTCTTATTTTATGTCCAGTGTATAATTCTTCCCTGCAAATCACATCAAAAAGCTGCTGATTTTGAAATTCTTCACCTGTGAATGTTAGGATTTGATGTATTATTTCTGGTTTGCCATAAATCCGCAGTGGGCGTTGAGAATCTCTGAAATGAAATTCTACCTCCACAAATTCGTAGGTAGGCCCACCAGGCCGTAGAATACGTTTTTCGTCGATAAGTTGAATGAGTTCTTGTAATTGGTAGTAGTCGGCCTCAGCCGATAGAATATCCCACTCTTTGAAACCGTCAGGAAGAATAAGCTTTGATCGACGGAGGAAATTCAGAATGTGTCGGAATGTTGGACCGTCTCCGTCAATGATGTAGCGATGGCAATCATCGACGGCAGATGGCAAACGACCGCTGAACATTGACCCTAGCATTGAATCCGGATAACGTGCTAACGTTGAGCGACTTGTTGTATAGATGCATCCCCCGACATTCAGGTTCAATACCTCGTCAGCAACTTCAACTGCAGGCAAAGCCATAATATTGAATCCCGTACTAGATGAAAATGTACAGTAATTTACCAAGCAGCGATGAACTTAAAGCCCGACTTAAGCTCAAATGGTCACAGAATCACGCGTTAGAAAACTCAAGAATCAGTAAATATTGGGTAAATTAAGAACCCTTTTTGATGCATCGACACCAGGCCTTATGGATTTCATGCTCAGATATGTTTAAGTCTGTTACTATTGAGTGATATTTTATCTCTGTGAGTGATTATCTCTGTACTAAAAGTTAAGATTGTTCTTTGGCCAATCAGAGAATTGTTTAATCACCGGGTTACAAAAATAAGCCGAAGTGAAGTGGGTTCAGATTCCAGTGGCTACCTAAGCTACTGAATCTTCTTTTAAATGCGAATTTTAAATTGTTGATTATTTTAAATGTCCTGGTTAATTGGTTAGAAAGACTGGATTCCTAATAACAAGACTAAAAGACCACGCTTACCTAGGCAAAAGTACTGTGTTTGATTATGTTCAAAATGGGGATAAATTTAGACATATTTCTTGTTATACTTTACCTAAAAGAGTACCGATTGCAAACACGAATAAATATCGTAATAATTTTTAGCTAAGGGTATAAAATATAAAATCATAAAAGATAGATAATAATCATAATATTGTAATAATAATAATAATAATAATAATGTAATGGTGATAATGATAATAATTGTAATAATGATGAAAATATTAGTGAATATAATAGTGAATATAGTATTATTATTATTATTATTATTATTATTAAAAATAAGAAAATAATAATAATTTTTTAATTTTTTGGCCTTCTGTAATTTTAAATTTTCTGTGCTTTTGATGGAATTTTGATTTTTTTTCCTTGACCAATATTTATGTGAATTTCTTGGAACTGTATTTTTTTTGCGAGCATTGTAATTTCTTCGTTTATTTTAGTGTAATATATTTACATATATTTCTGGTTATACTTTACCCACAAGAGTACCGATTGCAAACACAAATAGATATCGTAATTAATTTACCACTAAGGGTATAAAATACTTCAATGAAAATCATAAAAGATAGATAATAATCATAATATTGTATATGTATTGTATACTAGTAGTTAGGCCTAGCCTAGACCTAGGTCACTTGTTTTAGACCCTACTACTACCACCACTAGGCCTAGAAGCAGTGGCAGAGCCAGGAATTTGAATTAGGCCTAGGACTTAGAGGGGGCTCAGAGAGGGACTTTTCATAGATAAAGGGTAGATGCATATTACTACTACCTTTCTCTTATACACATCTAACTAAGGGTGGGTGGTAGACATTTTAAGGATGGGAGTGTGATAGCATTGGTAAACTCTAAATAATAAGAGTGGATTTTAAGGATGGAAAAGTTGGTTAATAAGGGTGGGTGGAAAACTATAAGGGTGGTTGGCCCCGTTCACCCTAACTACATCCTGTCTCTTATACACATCTAGATGTGTATAAGAGACAGAGATTGGTTCAAATATAACGTGACAAAGATGATTTTCAATTTTCTGGTCTGTCCACAGATCCTTAAGAAAATCCCAATTCTAAAATATTTTCTAGAGAAAAGTTATTTTTGCCTTTTACTGTCAATTCGATTACACTCAATATGTTCTGTCTCTTATACACATCTAGATGTGTATAAGAGACAGATATAATATAACAAGTGAAAAGACTGTATAGGGGCCATGCGACAAGCGCACCTGGCCATAGGGAGTGGAGTGGGGTCGAGATTTTAGAAATGCTTGAGACCATTACACGGCTACGTGGAATTATCAAAAAATTGGATTTTTTGGAGTAGGCCTATACATACATACCGTGTTCCCCTCTTGCTAGACTTTATTTTCTTCTCTTTATTTTCTGGGGAGGGGGTGTATCCACCGTGTTTCCTTGATCCACCCGTGGAAAATAAATTCTGTGTTGGGATTTAGAGGGTTCACCCCAAATATCAACAAAGATGACTTCTATTCTCAATTTCATTTGTTTGTATTCTGTGTATCCGTTTTTGTGTTGTTGTTATTGTTGTGGAGATGATATCAAATAAATCAAATCAAATAAAAAATGACTGATTTAATGATTGTTTAGGCCTATATTGGAAAAGCTTCATTGGAACAGATCAATAAATTCATGATTAGGCCCTAAGCATCCGACCTACAGTATGCACGTTAAGGAAATTCATTTAGTAGGCGAAGGTGAAGTGCGAGGGCTCGATGATCAGTTGAGGGGCTCTAATTCGCAAAATAAAGTGATTTAGGTGATTTTTAACTACTACTACCGTGATTTGAAACCAGTGTCAGTATAATCTTATCTTATGTATAAAAAATGTTGTGTTTAAAATGAAACCAGTGAAATATATATTTTTTTAAGCAGCAGCGGTGCCAGCGTCTGGAATTTGGGTGGGGGCGGCAAGTAAGGGGTTAGGTAAAATTTTAGGGGGAGGGGTGCAATATTCTGGGTGGCCCAAAGAGGGTGTGGTCGGGCGTCGATGAAAATGTCTTGAAAAGTGGTCCAGAGGGCGAAGCCCATGAACAATATGACAATTTAGGGGTTTCAGCTTATTTAATCGATTTTATAGATAGATAGTCTACTAATATGTAGAAAATACATAGGCCTATCATTTTTTCCTCCCCGATGAATTGTGTTTTTCTTCTTTCTTGTGGGACTGGGGGAGGGAAGCAAGAAAATGATCTGCGGGGAAATTCCCCTCTCCCCCAACCCCACTAGCGCCGCCACTGATTTTAAGAGAAATACTCTGGTTTGTTGTTAATTTAAGTAACAAATAAATGGAACAAACAAATAATTTCGAATATTTCTTTCTTGCATTGAATATATTACACCTATTGCAGAACCCACCGACAAATCGTTGTCCCCTGGTTTTGCTACTCCACCTGTGAAATTCACGCTCTAGTATACGAACGAAAAACCACCAATGAAGGTTTTCCATGCTGATCTGATACGAGAAGGATCACTCACAAATCCCCGTGGTTTCAATTAGTGGTGTACTGCTACAAAATATAACGTAAGATGATTTTAAATTTTCTGGTCTGTCCACAGATCCTTAAGAAAATCCCAATTCTAAAATATTTTCTAGAGAAAAGTTATTTTTGCCTTTTACTGTCAATTCGATTACACTCAATATGTTTGATTAAATATATATATGTTTTAGCAACATCAACATACTAAACTAAAATAAAATAATATTGTTCCAAAATCTTTGTCATAATCATAACCCAACCAATCAATTAATTGTTTATTAAATGCACTACTTACCCACAAGAGTACCGATTGCAAACACAAATAGATATCGTAATTTATTTACCGCTAAGGGTATAAAATACTTCAATGAAAATCATAAAAGATAGATGATAATCATAATATTGTATATAATAATAATAATAATAATAATAATAATAATAATAATAAATAAATAATAATAATAATAATTGTGATAATGACAATAATTTAAATAATGATGAAAATATTAATAGTGGTTATTATTATTAAAAATAAGAAAATAATAATGATTATTATTATTTTATGATTTTTTTTTTCCTCTCGAGTAGTTTCTCCTTTTTAAAATATGTAACACTTCTTTGTTCTCTTCTAATATTTTTTTTATTATTTTAAAATATTGTTGGCCGTCTATAATTTTCAATTTTTATGTGCTTTTTGATAAAATTTTGATTTTTTTCCCCTTGACCAATAATTATGTACATTTCTTTGTATTGTATTTTGTTTGCGAGCATTGGAATTTCTTTGTTTATTTTAACTGGAGACAATAAATTTTATCTTGTATCTTCTAGGTCTCTGAGTGTAGTAAAGAATAATATTTTTAAACACTAGTAATAATGACAGCAATCAAAGCTGTCTGCATGTAATCAGAATTTCCATGGGGCATATGATATGTTATTTTAAAAGCTTGCTTACCTCAGCCCCAAACTTGGTGGGGGAGAACCGGACCTTTAGGTGCTCGAGATATTCCCTAACCACTTCTCTATTTGATATTCCACAGCATAACACCCTCATTAAAAAAAAATACAATGCCATGCTGTAATAGGCATATAGACTGAGGCCTGTAAAAGGAAATGGGTGAGGCTGTCATTGAAAAAAAAAATATGTCGGCCCGCCGCTGGTTTCAACAAATTAGAACTGGCCACCACAATAAAAAGGTTGAATACCGGGGCCTAGTGGAATGAAACCCCAAAAAAACGACGCGTCGACGAGCACATTAGCGTGGTCACGCAGACAATAAGAAAGACAAATAACAGGGTTTTAATATTCTTGTACGACTAGCATGTCATAAGTTAAAGCTACGTTCACATCAAGGCCGGATCCGGAGCCAGGATTTGCCCGACGAGGTGTCAGATTTCCCCGACGAAAGCAAAGTGGGCGTGGACGACATTCGATTAAAAGGTTCCGAAAGTGGTCCTCGGGGCGAAGCCTCCGAAAATTTCGACAATTTAGTGGTATTAAAGGCTTCACAATCAATTTTAGATCTACTAATCATTCTTCCCACCCCCACACCGCTGGCGCCACCCCTGTCCGGAACCCGGACAAAAAATCGTGAGTTGCTACGTTTTTTGAACGCTACGTTCACATCGCGCACGGAACACGGTTGGTCGGGTTAAGTACGTAAGCGTTCGATTGGTTCGAACCAACCAATCTTGCTGCTGATTGGTCCAAGAAAAAGAACGTACGAATTCAGGATAGAAATGATACTTAGATCCATCGGTCCAGATCCGGAGTCCGGAATGGAAATCGTACGAATTTGATGTGAACGGTCCTATTCTTTACCACTGAACCAATTTTTCACGATTTTTTTTATCCGGACTCCGGACAGAAATCCGGACTTGATGTGAACATAGCTTTACACTAGCAAAACCTTTTTTGCTTTTTTTCATGGGGTGGGGTTGGGGTGGTGCGGCCGTACCCCTCGATACCATTTTGGCGGCAACGTTCATATAAGACACACTTCCGTCAGTCTTTTATTTTTATTTTGTTCAGATCAGTGGCGTTGGGCCCAGGGCTATTAATAAGTAATAATAAAAACAACTTCATATTTTTGAAGAAAAAAATGGCAAGTGGACTCCTCAATAAGTAAATAAAAGTAATTATTGATTGCGATTATTCTTAGTACGGTATTTATTACTAGCCTGGCATTTTCTGGATGTTAAATCAGTATATCTATTTCTCGGTTCCTGAAATGTAAACCCTAGCTTTCAGGAATTCTCATACTCCCCAAGGGAAATTGACAGCTCGCACACCCTCTCCACCACTGTCATGATCCAGGCCTACGGCTCT